GCCACTGGCGCCCGAGCAGCGACACCAAGTCTTATGGGAACAAGGGCCTAAGCGCTGCCTGTGTGTATTCCTGCCAGCTCTGTTTTCCCAGACCCCACTGTAAGCCCAGTCAGCCAGGGACTGGCAGCAGGACTGGGACTTTCTGGTGGATTTGAGAAGGGAGAGGTGGGGAAGTGTCTGCAACTTCGGTGTTCAGTGCAGACTTGCAAAAACTGGTTCAAGACATCTCTAGATAAATGATCTAAAGGGCCCTGCTGTCCCACAGTGGGCATTTTGCAGGCCAGTGGGAGAGGAGAGCCATAGGAGGTCTAGTCTTGCCCCCTTCACACTCATGGTATCCTCTTGTCCTCCACTGAGTCTGTGGCTTGGTACAAGGGGTGCTGACCGGGGGGAGAACTGGAGTCTACTGCATGTGCAGAGGCCGTTTACAGGAAGCTAAATCCAGATGAGAGCTGGAGCAGTGTCTCTGTTGGGCTACTCCCTGACTGGGTATTGTGAATGGGGTTGATAAGACACTAGTAATAGGGGGAGGAGAGAGAGGGAGAGACTTGCAGACAGGCACATAAACACAGCAAGCTCCGAAAGGCTCTTTCCTTCATCCACAGTCCATGCCTGTGCTGAATTTGTGTAAATTAAGTTCCTGATGCAAGGAAGCGCATCTCAAGTTAGAGCAGATGAGCTATAAACGTGGGCTGAGGTATTGCGATGGGGCAGAATGGACCGAATGCACAAATCAGTGGGTACCACAGTCCTCCTCGGCGTGCATGTCGCCAGCTCTGGGAAGAATCCAGCCCTGCAGCTGCCTATACATTGTGCTTGCACTGCAACTTTTATTTCATTTTACAGAAGTCGCACACATCTGACAGCTCTTGCTATCACAGTGGTTTTTGTATCTTAATGCACTCATCTTGTGTGAGTTGTCCTGGACTGCAGGACTGATAGGCAGACTGGGCATGGCAAAGGGACAAGTGCTGAGTCGTGGGACTGGCTGGGAACGCTTGTGGAGGCAGATGCTCGCTCTATGCATGCTTCTGTGATGGGGAGGGTGCGTGAAAGCCAGAGCTGGCATTTACCCCAGAACCCTTAGCACAGGTGGGAGGATAAAGATGGGATCCTTTTCACCAACAGAAAGACCAGCAAGGGACCTCTCCATTCACATGGGAGTTGGCAAGGTTTGTGAATGTGGATGAAATGGATTACAGGAGGCGTCTGTGCTAACATGCCCCACTTGCAAGCAGTGGCATTCCCTTGGCTTGACTCACTCGAGGGAAGGTTTTTGCCACTACAAAACACAAGTCGACATGAAAGCTTGATTAGACAGAGGTCATCTCAGGTGAGCTGTGGAAGTAGTAAGATGCGAGCCAGGGGTGACAAGCTTGGCCAATTCCAACAAACTAAAAAACCTGAGCGCCTGTAAGTGGTTGTAGGTGAAGCACAAACCTGTGGCTGGATAACTACTCGAGTGTCCTGGCTTGTTTCAGTTATGCCTCCAGGTTGGGAAGGAAGTCAGCCCGCGTGGGAATATTTTTATCATGCCTCCACCTATCTAATTCCTCATTTTTTGTTAGGCAGCTGGCATTTCGGAACCGCAGACTTGACCAGTCACCCTGGCTAATACATCATCACAGCTTGTTTGCTCTCCCCACTCTGTTTTTATCCATCTTTTTTCCCCTGTCTTACACTGTGATTGTAAACAGCACACTTTTTTTCTTCCTCCTTCCTGTTCATTGTGTCCCCAGTGGCTTGCTTTAGGGCTCCTTGGCTACAGCCATATGATAATGCATGAACTCGCGTACAGAATTTATCTCTGTTTTAATCCTACATGGTCTAGGTCTGGGGCTGCCAAATTGGGCAGGGGTGCCACAAGCGGCACAGGCCGCCCCTGTCCATGGCATGCAGTGGATTGGGGAGGGGACAGGCAGCAGCACAGTGGCAAATAGGGTGGAGAGCAGAAAGTAGAGCAGCAGATCCCACAGGGAGCATGGGGCAGGGAGCAGAAAACAGAGCAGCAGGTCAGGCAGGGAAAGGGGATCAGAGTGCCACTCAGGGCTGATATGCCACAAATTAGCTGCATATCTGCCAAAAAAGTTGGCTCCCACTGGTCCAGGTAATTCTCTAGCACCTGATGAAAGGCCCACTGTCATCAGACACATGCTAAAGAGTCTAACATATCTATAGCCACAGTTTTGAATAAAAGTTTTGGATTTAACATTTGCCCTCTCTTTGGAAAGGCCTTTGTTAGTGAAGGTGAGATTGGGATGGCAAGATCAGAAAAGCAGCTATTAACAGACTACTGGGCAAGTAGAGAGAGAAAAAAAAGAAAGTATCTAAGCCTTGGGTTTTTTAAATATGTGAGGCATCTGAGGGTTGAGTCAGTTAAGAATACAGGGGTGCCTGGTAACATAAATCCCCCAAATGAAAGTGCTGTGAAAGAAGAAGACTTCTCTTTGGGACAAGGGGGGAAAAGGTGTTTGATAATATTCTCCAGCTCCTGCCTAGAAATGTCCTAGCAAATTCCTTTTTAGGCAATGCAAGCTTTTAAAGTAACGCAGAACAGCCCCGAGCTCTTCATCTGACTAAGAGATGGAGAAGTTTGAAGTCCTGGAATTTCACTGATTGCCCGGCTCTCCCGGGAAGTCTCTGCGTGTCTCTCGGAGGTTGAGTTCATTACTCCCATTTCCCCACCGCAGCAAATGGTCTTCCAGGGTGCTCGGAAAGGGGCATCCCATCATAGTTGGAGCCGGTCTGTCACGCAGCTAGCCCGGCGTGTGTCAAGCACACGCTCGGCTGATGTGCTGTCACAAGGCTCGGGCTGCAGTAGTGAACGTACATGACATCTGACTTGCAGCTTCGCATACTGTTGAATGAACAAGAGGAGAGCTATCATTTCCGCTCGTCGTGTTCGAGTGATCTGTTCCGAGGGCGCTCAGAAGGGTGGAAAGGAAGATGATGGCCCTCCAAGTTCAAAAATACAGAAAATTATCTTGGTGATGCCTGAATGTCCCTTGTCTGACTTATTCCTTTTACCTTTGTTATATTTCAGCTCTAAATAAGAATATTTCATTCGGAGTCCGCTGAAGCCGTGGCATGTTCCCAAATTACTGTACAAATCACTTCTGAGCTGTGCTTTTGCCAGCTTGGCGAGAGCCGGGGCTCTTCACAGAGACGTTCCTGTACTCAGTGCAGATTTCTGTCACTCTCAGGGAGATAACTCCTCTCTTTTGCTTGCTTTGTTGCAGTGGGAACGCCATACTATATGTCCCCAGAAAGAATACATGAAAATGGCTATAACTTTAAATCGGATATCTGGTCTTTGGGCTGTTTACTGTATGAGGTAAGCATTTCTAACTTCATTTCTGTTAGTTTTTCTTGAACAAAGCCATGCCACTATGAAACAGGGATCCATTTGGAGGAAATGGCTTAACTCAAACTTGCTTGCATCTGATTCCTGGTCATCCTATGAGGAATATTAACTATCATACCTGTTTTTTGGGGTGCTTTAAATGAAGGAGAAAGACAAAGCCTATTTTCATTGCACCCCAGAGCACTGATACAAAACTAGTTCAGTGCATCCCAGTAAGCATTGCGGGAAGACGGCAGCCCACCAGTTTGTTTTATTCTTCCCTCCTGTAAGCTGGGCAGCTCCTGGCATGGCATTCAGAGCTCACTCCTTAAACGGGAGGCATTTTTTTAAATATAGAAAATGTCATTTGAATAGTATTTAGTGTAAAACAAAGCTGTGAAGAGTTGATACTTTTTGACCTTCCAGAGCTCTCAGTGAGAAGCAAGATGGGGATTTTTGTATTATCTTTTAAAGATATGAACATATTTATTTCTTAGCCTGTTTAGTTATTTTTTCAACTGTGCTGAGCCCTACAAAGTCATGTAATGATGTAGGCGTTTTTTCAAGGTAGAAGGACTCGGTGTAAATGGCGATAACTTACGTATTTAACGCTGGACTATGTACTCGATATTGGGTAGGTTAGGTTTAAGAAGAAAACAATTCTCTCAAAATTCGAATGCTGCAATTTGTGAAGGAATAAAGCACCTGTAGACTCTTACCATGTTCAGAAAAATAATTTGTAAAACCTTGCGTTTGCTTAAAAACATTAAGATTGCCATCAGAATGTATAAAATTGTTTTGAATCCAAGTGAAGGTGTGTGGCCATTATTTAAAAAGCATGTTGTCATGCTTTTCCCTCCAAACCAGTATTTAACAAAAGGCACCAGGATACTAAATTGTAAAGTATTATCCAGAACCACTTGAAACCTTTGGCTTTTTAGGCCCGAGTGTGAGAGCTGCATGTTCCCAATTTAAATTAAGGCTTGGCATAACAAAAGGAGGTTTATTGTTGCAACTTTTCACAATCGCGTGGAAAGAGAAAGTGCACAACTGCAGTTTGTGTTATGACTTGACAAGCACTAACACAGCCACCGATGGGCTTCTGCTTGAACTAGGTGATGACAGGAGCCCTTTACGACAGGGTTTGCTTACAGATAATTTTTCTGCCCTTCCCAACAAGAGTTAAACATGCTCATTACTGGTTGTGTGCTGCTGGGAAGCTCACTCCTCTTGTGTAACTAAATGCTTGTTCAACAAGGCAATGTACTGTCGTTAGTGTATTACCAAGCCTGAGTCATACAGTTCAATAGGTGCTGATTTATTTGTTGGCGGAGTGTGAAAGTGCCGTGTGGTGTGCATCTAGAGAGAGAAATATTGGTGCTGGGAAGTCAATGAAATAAATCAATAAAATCCTGCTAGAGGGATTAAGCAGCCTTTGGGAGCAGCGTAGCACTGCTTGAGTCTAACAGCCCTTGCACGTGAGAACTCCTTGCAGCCGGCCTCCATGCAGTTATGGATTTGGTGTTTGTTCCTAAAAATGTTCCCGACAAAAATCTATGCGTGCATCAATACCTGGACACCTGATGCTTTGGTGCCCGCACGCACCCACTACGCGTGCATCTGCACCCAGGAACGTGCCGGTGTCCACCTACCTCCTGCCCCAGGCCTGTGACTTACTGCAGGGGTTAGGTCGTGGAAAAAGAGCTGTGCTGAGTGCAGTGTGAACACCAGGTAGATGATCGCAGGCCCAGAAACTGGGCTCGGTGGTCTCACTGCAAAGAGCTACCTAATCTGCTGAGAAGTACAGTCACCCTGGCTGTTAGTGAGGGTGAGGAGAGCAGTGAATAGCTGCATATTGGCCAAATCACAGGGGTTGGGAAAATCACTGGGGCCGGGACACTGAATGTTTAGAGCCAGGAAGAAGATGATGCAGAAGGTGAAATTCCCTCTCATGCAGAAGCCGTTGTGGCAAAGGGGCTTGGAGGGTGTTGGGTCAGGTGGGCACTTCCACAAGAGGCAGGTAGGGGCAGAGCCACCATGGACCTGAGTTCTGCCTGGTGGAGTTTGCAGGGGGCAGGCCTGTCCCCGAGGTACAAGGGCCTTGATTTCTCCCAGGACTGAGACCCCCATGCCAGAAAGGTAGCTCAAAACCTCATGTGCTGGGGGGGGAAAAAGGCTTCCCAACAGATGCTCATTAAAAGGCACGAGGCTTGTGTCTGAGCTGGCCCATCCTGCAGCTGGGAGAACCACACCATTGTGGTACTGTTCTGATCATGAAGCAGGGGCACGTGTCAGCACTGTTGAAGACATTTTAAAGACTGCCATGAGCGATTGCGCAGCATGGCCGTGAAGGGGAGAGAGCTATTAGCCTAATAACCAAGGCTGTGCTAACATCTGCATTTAACAGCCCTCGGCCGGACAAGGAGTGAAACGGCAGCTAGGACTGAGGTGGGCTCTTGTTGAGTATTGTATTGTAAGCAATTGTGCAGAGGCGTTCAAGGTGACTGCAGCGTCCCCAGGCCGAACCTTAAAACCCTGGTGGTTTTTAATGGAGGAATAAGAAGGACTCTGTACAAAGTCCTGTAAGGACCACAGCAGCAACAAACCAATTAAAACCGCCCGGCGCTTCAGACGTATGGTACTTCAGGACCTAAAGCTACTAGCAACGTGCACAATGGAGCTGTAAAGTGTGGCCAATCCAAAAGGGGTGTGTGGTCCTTCTGCCACTTCAGACGCATCTTGGAGACTCCTTTTTACAGGATCGTTGGGAAAGGGGCGCGGGCTCTTAAGACTCTTTGTGTTCAGTGTAGCTAGGATTGTGCAGGTTTGACCTTAAGGGTAATTCTCAGTTTAAAGGTTTGTCAGGGAAGCTTTTTGCCCCCCACCATGTACCTGTTAGCCCCGCTGTTGCCAAGAGCAGTGGTCCCAATAACCCAGGGTGGAGGCTGCAGTGTGTGGGGTGAGTTCTCCAGCAGGCCGCCAGGAGCATATTGCTAAGGATAAGCTCACGGGAGAGAAGAGCTTGGGGTTTCTGCAGAGAAGTGTCTAGCATTTTGCTGGGGCACCGTGTTGTTGCAGGCGGCATCGTCCCCTTTGGCACAGAAGTCCAACGCTTCCCACACCCCATCGTGCTGGCTGATTTGTTCACTGAAGAGCAGCAGCACCCTGGTCCGGGTACAGGGCTGGCAGGGAAACCACGTGGGCACTCGCAGTCTGTGCAAGGAAGCCTTTCCGGTGCGGACAAGGGCTGTGATATTTGTACGTTCCAAGAAGTACTGGCCAGTTACCAGCTCTGGTTTCAGGAAATAAACAGCTACTGGATGCTTTAAACTTTCAGTAGACGATTTGCAAAAGAGAAAAATGAAATCCATGCACTGCTTTGCGGAAGCTGTGTTTGATCCATATCAACTCGTATAAAACAGTATTTCTGGTTAAGCAGAAATGGGGGCAAGAGAGGGAACAACTGTGTTTGCCTGGGTCAGAGTCGCTTCCGATCGTTCTCTGCAGGGGCCATTGTGCAGAAAACCTGGGGAGTTGTAATGTACAAATTGCTTTCAGAGACGTGCATGGGAAGGACATTTGGGAGATTTAGCATCATGTCAAATGGTGCCGCCTTCTGACGTTAGGTCACACATTGCTTTTTGCTAAATCTTGCCAAAATAATGGCAAAAGCCTTCATTTTTTGGAAATCTGTCATCAGGATCACTTAGAGAGGATAAAAAGAAGCTCTTACTCTGCAGAGCATAGATAGCTACAAGTGATGGCTTTAGCCGGTCTGACAACACAAACAGCATTTCTCTGCATATGAAGTTCTGTATATACTTGTACCGGTCCCACGGTGCTGTTTTCAGCAGAGACTTGGCCGCTGTGTTGTAATTGTTCTAAGCCCAGTGTCAGAAGCAAGCCCTGGCGTCACGTCACAGCCTGGCAGTAATACATTGGGAATGCCTGCAGTCACAGTCCTCCGGCGCACGTTCTTGGCTGTCTTAATCAGAATTTATAAAGCATCCCTGCAAACCTTTTTTCACTGTTAACTTGCTGTATTTGTCAGCCTGAAAAAGAAGAAATGTCGCACAGGTTTCCCCCTCCCCCTTCATTAATTTCTCTGGACAGGATTCGAATTGGCATGGAGACACTTTTCAGATCGATGGGAAAATCTGACTTATTGTGGAAGTCTAGGAGACCCTTTTTTTTTGCCTTTGGTTAACATTTTCCTGAGTCTGCTTTTGTACCTTTTGTAATACACACATTACTACTGCCTCTCAAACAGCCCTGGGGTTTGTGCTCCTTATTTGTGGTTTAGATTAACAATACCAGTTTGCAGCTCTTTCCAGATCTAAGAGGTAGGGCCCCATCATGAGAGATGCCAGATTCCTACCGTCAAAAGAGAGGTTTCATGCACAAGATCCTAGCTTTTTGTGCGTGTGTGTGTGCGTGTAATGGAAGGGCTATATGTAGTATTAACTGTTTAGACTAAGCAGGAAGAATTAGTCCATCTTTTCGAGGCAGAAGATTAGGCTGAGTGCACTAAAAGTCTCTATGCCCCTCCTCCCTCCCAGACTTTTTTGTCACAATCAGTAGCCCTTTTAGAGGGCTGTGCTATGGTTATGTAATTTCAGCTCTGCTCAGTACAGAAAT